CCGCCGCCCGAGGTCTCCTCACGCCGCCCGCGTCTCCGCTGGAGCTGCTGGAAGCCAAGCCCAAGCGCGGCCGCCGTTCCTGGCCGCGCAAGCGCACCGCCACGCACACCTGCAGCTACGCCGGCTGCGGCAAGACCTACACCAAGAGCTCGCACCTCAAGGCGCACCTGCGCACGCATACAGGTGGGCGGCGGCGGGGGGCGCCGGAGGAAGGACGCGCTCAGGAAGCCCCCAGAGGGGCGTAGCCCAAGAGTTGCGGAGGGGCCGCGGTCTTAGAAAGCCCCCTGGGGGCGTGGCTCGGGAGCCCGGGGAGGAGGCGCGTGCTTAGGACCCTCCTGGGAGCGCGGCTCAGGACTTTGGGTAGGGGTGTGCGTTTAGGAAACCTAGAGGGATGCTATGTCCCAGACCGTTGGGGAGAAGATGCACGCTTAGGACCCCTCTGGCGTCGTGGCTCAAAACACACTGGGGAGCCACCAGTGCGCGCTTCGGATCCCCTAGGGGATCAGGAGACCCAGGGGTGGGGGATTCGTGCCTAAGATTCCTGGGGTTCAGAGAATAGCGGGGAGCGCTTCAGAGAGCTGGTTAGGGATAGGTTGTGCGCCCCCGAGAAGCCACTAATCAGGGTGGGAGTGTGTACCAGAGTCACAGTGGGGAGGGAAACTGAGGCCCTCTCTCGCCCCCTCCCTGCAGGCGAGAAGCCCTACCACTGCAACTGGGATGGCTGCGGCTGGAAGTTTGCGCGATCTGACGAACTCACGCGCCACTACCGCAAGCACACGGGCCACCGGCCGTTCCAGTGCCATCTGTGCGACCGTGCCTTCTCACGCTCCGACCACCTAGGCGCTGCACATGAAGCGGCACATGTAGCCTAAGCGCCCCCCTTCCCGCCCACCCGCGCGCGGCCGTGGCGGGTCCCACGCGCCGGGCACGGCTCCCTTCCAAACTGTGACTGGTATTTATTGGGCCCAGAGGACCGGGCCGGGCACAGCGTGGCCACCGAGGGCGCCCCCTCGTCGACGCCCCCGCCGCCCGGCCCCCATCAGAGACTGAAGGCCCGGTGGGAGAAGACCACGATCCTCCTTGACGAATTTTGTTTTCAAAATGGTGCAATAATTAAGTGTCGTCTATCCCCCCGCTGGGTCTACACTAGAGGATCAAGGCTTGATGCCTTGTGAAAAATGCAGGCTTAATATGTACTGTGCAACATTTTTTATAATATTGTACATAGGGGCTGTGACATATTGTATTACTGTAAATAAGGGGCAGACAGTTGGGCATTTTGGGTGCCTGGTTCATTTTTATAAGATTTTGCTGGTTTTTTAATTCAAAAAAAAAGTTTTACATCTTTTGAAAAAAATCACAGCACTGGTCTGACTGCTTAGAAGCTGGGGGCTTGGGGCACTTGGGAGGGCCTGGGGGGGAAGAGACAGCTTTGATGGAGGGCAGCCTGGCAGCGGCAGGGCAAAGTGGGTCTTGCCCCCACCAGCACCTGGGGTTGCCAGCTGCAGCCCCCAGCTGCCAGGAACCTGTGGGTTTTTCTATAAATTTAAACTCTGCATTTTAGGACTGAGGGAGAGTTATTTTAAGGTTGTTCCCTGAGCCATAAATTGCCTCCTTTTCCCCAGAGCTGGAGAAAATGCTGGTCCCACTGACGTGGCCGCCTCCGGACTGAAAAAAGCCTTACCTCCTTCTGGAAGTTTCTGAGGTTTTAGCCAAACTTCTGCAGTGTGCAGACCTTTGTTGTTGTTGTTGTTTGGAAGGGGCAAAATGCTGAGTTTCTGACCTGCTTTGCCTTTCAATCGTCTTGCCTTTGAGTAGTTTTTTTTTTAAAGATGAGTTTCCATCCTATTAGAAAAAAAGGAAATCCATGTTTAAGGGTCATGGATGGTGAGTCCTCTGTTCCAGATGAGGAAACTGAGGCCCAGAGAGGTAGCCATGGAGTGGTGCTGTTGGGTGCTAGCTAGCCTGGTCTGTCTGCCTCCCGAGGGTCCCTGAACCCCACTAGAGGGGATCTAGGGCCTTCTGCAGCAAACCACCTGTTGCTGGCATTGGAGGATTATAAGACCCTCCCTCCCCTGCAGGTGCCCTTGGGTGAAGGAATCACATCAGAGCCCCCACCTAGGTGGTTGGAAGTGGCCACTCCAGAAACTTCCTTGTGTGCAAGGCAAGACTCCCCACAGCACTCCGCATGTCTCAGGCGAAGAGATGCCTCTCCCTGGCAGGTTCCCCCTTCTCAGGGCCTTGGGTGGTAACCATGGCCACCAACAATTGCACAAGTTGTTTCCAGAAAGTGAAAATAGCTTGTAAGCAGCGCCTGTTTTAAAACACTCTTGCCCTGTTGCAACAGCGCCTGGGATTTCCTCCCTCCCTCCCTCCCTCCATCCATCCTTCCTCCCCAGCGATGGCAGCCCTGGAAACAGCTGAGAGCATTTGGTAATCCACAAAAAGCAGAAATGGGAGATGACAATCTGATTCATCTTTCTCGAGTAAATAGCCCGGGCCCACTTCCGCTGGTGATGCAGGGCGTGTGCATGTGCATGTATGTGAGCCTCTGTTCCCTCTCTCTGCAGCTTTTGCGAAAAACAGAAACCCAAAAAACTGTTCCAGAGCGGAGCACTGACCCCCTCAATCTGTGGAAACACCCTCTCTCTGCTCAGAGCTGGTTTCAGCGGCACTCAGGGTAGAAGAAAAAACTCCCAAGAGATTTTAAATACGTTTTTGCAAGGTCGTCCTGTCTTGCTTGTTGCATTTTGAAACCTAACGGGTAAAGCCATTTTTCTTGCTCAAAAACACCTCCCTGAGGCGTGTGAGTCCAATGAGAGGCCAGTTGTAAGGGGACTGGAGCTGTCGAGTTTCTGTTTCCTGAGTGCCGCCAACTGATACAGTAGAAAGTGTCAGGCTCCTACGCAGCTGTATGTTTCGGCAAGAGACGCGGGCTGGCAAAGAGCAGGCTCGCTCTGATTAATCCCAAATACTCCTCGCTGTTTTCTCTGCCCCTTTCTGAAACCCCAGCGTCAACTTCCATCACATACCTTCTGGATGGGTGGTTCTCAACCAGGCGCAACCCAGTGTCAAGATACTTTGGGTTGTCACAATTTGGGGGAGGGGTGCTGCTGGCATCTAGTGGGCAGGAGCCAGGGATGCTGCCGAAACATCGTAGAAGGCACAGGGCAGCCCCCACCTCCACAGAGAACCATTCTGTCCCAGTGTCATTACTGCCACAGCTTAAACACCTGCTCAGATTCCTAAACGATCATAAGCGTTGATCGCTTTTATCAGCAAGGAATGAGGGGTGGGGGTCCGTCCCAAGAAGCAAGATGGCAGGATGCCACGCAGAGAAAAGTGTGACTAAAACCTCACTGCTTGGCCCTGTCTCCATCCCTGTGCAGACACACAGCACTTTCTCTTCCTGGTGTCCACTTAAGAAAATGTTGAATATCAAATCAAAAAAAACCCCACCACCACCACCACCAACAACAACAAAAAACCTTGCATTCTGCAACCCAGTTCCAATCAAGTGTTTTCTGGAGGGAGGGATGGCTGGTCAGCATTTGAATGGCTTTCACATGGCTGTTTATCCATATATCTTCTTTTTTTTCCAGCCAAAGTTATAACCATTTTCCCATGTTTCCTCTGTGATGTTTTACCCTTTTAAATGGCTGCATAATATTCCATTTAGCCGTACCACAAGTTGCTTATGCAAATAAGCTCTAAGCATACATATGTACACATGGGGCTGTATTTCAGATTGTCCCCCAGGGTTGGAAAGGATGATGGTTTCAGAGGGCTTTCAGCATTGCCAAAATGCTCTCCCAAGAGTGACTCCAGTGATGGGGGAAAAGATACAGGAGCTGTTTTTCTACCAGGAGTTTCCTGCACGTCAGGGAGCCCCAGGCATCCTGCATAATGTGGTGGTGTGAAGTGGGAGTAGGGAGAGCCTTCAGAGGGTCAGGTGAGTCCCAGCACATGCCTGACTCAGCACCTTGCCCCATCAGCAAAGCTGAGCTAGCACCCAGGCTCGGCCACACCCTGGGCAAGTTCCAAGGCACTAGGCTAGAGATGGGTCACCAAATCACCAGCACAGGGTGGCTCTGGTGGCCTGGACCCATGCTGAGCTGATGTGTGACAAACAAAACTGTCTCCTGACATTGCCCAGTGTCCCCTGGGGACAGGATCACCCCCCAGATTGAGAACCACTGGGTTGGGGGGGATCCATGGACACCTAAGACACTTTGCATCTGTAATTATCTGACCTACTGAGGTCCTAGATGCTGCACATTGAAATACAGAAACCGAGAGTGAGGGAAAGAAGAGGTACTCACAGATGTGGCAGGAACAGCCTGGTTTGTACCATCTAACCCACTGGGATTTTATTCTGGTGTATTGTGTGAGCTGGGAACTTAAATCAAAGTTTTTTCCAAATAATTCACATAGGGTTTCTCTGATATTTGAGGCCAGAGCATTCTTTAAATTGGGTGACTGTCCTGCGAGTTACAGGACGTTCAGCAGCAGTCCTGGTCTCAACTCAGTAGATGCCAGCAGCACCCCCAGCCCTGCAGTCCTGAGGCCGTTGACAATCAAAAGGTCTCCAAGCGTCCCCTGGAGGGGGAGGACACAGAATCACCCACCGTGGGCACAAGTGCTTGGGCAGAACCGTTCTTCCCCAGGGAAGCCCTCAGGGCCACTGTGCGGGTCTGCGTCCTCATCGGGGGAGTGAGGATGCTGCTGCGGGGATGGAATGACAGGATGGAGATTAAGTGCCCAGCACTGGGGTGTGGCCTACGTGCTGAGTCTCCCCTGTGAAGTTGGTGTGCCTGGATTTCAAGTCTTGCAACCCCCACTGTCTCTCTCTGTGTCTCTGTCTAAATAGATGGATGGCTGGCTGGATGGATGGATAGACAGGTGATACGTCTGATGGATAGATGACAGATAATCTTTCTCTCTCTCAACCTCTCTCCTTTCCCTTTCTCCACCTCTGTCTCATTCTCTCTCTCTCTTTCTCTCTCAAGCTCTCTCCTTCCCCGATTCATTCATTTCAGCAGATGCTCGTGATGCCTCAGCCTTGAGCTAAGTCCTGGGTAAGCAGAAGTGAGTCAGAAGTGACTCAGCCTCGCCTCCTCACCCAGAGCCGGTATCAACAAATGTTTGTTGAATGACTAACCCAGTGCAAACTTGAGCTGATCTCCAGGCTGGGGCAGGAGCTTTCGTTCTCGGTACATAACACAAATTCTCTTTCAACCTTCCCACCAAGCTGGGGTGTGTGTTGGTGGGAGGGGATAGCCGCCCCCGTTTTCCAAATGTGGAAAGTGGGCACAGAGAGGGGAAGGCTGGCCCCTTGCCCGGTGCATGTGTAAGTAGTAGGCAGGGCTCGAACCCAGGTTGACCTGATCTTGACATCACAGCTTTACCCACACCTGGAAACATCTACAAGCTAAAATGCATTAAGTCACCTGTTTTCTTCCACGCACCCAGTCTGGGGATTCCTGGAAGCCGCAGTGAATCCCTTCCAGGCTTCCATCTGAATAACACGGAAGGCTCATTTTCTAGGAAAATCTGGGGTAGGGAGGAACTGGGTCAGGAAACACAGGTGTTGGGGGGCGTAGGGGGAGCCTGTCTGGGTGAATGGAGTTGCCTGAGATGTTGTAGTAAGAAGCAAAATGAGGTCTGGGGGAAGAGCAGTTCTCCAAAAAAAAAAGCTAAACATCTAGTTGTCATGTAACTCAGCCATCCCACTCCTAGGTGTAGACCGCAAAGAATTAAAAGGCAAGGACTCAGACAGATGCTGGTACACTGGTGCTCACAGCAGTGGGATCCACAACCACCAGGAGATGGAAACAGCATAGCCATCAACAGGTGAGTGGATAAACAGTGTCCCATCTGTGTAATGGAATATCACTTGATATAGAGCCATGAAGCACTGACACAGCCACAACGTGGATGAACCTCGAAAACATTACCCTGAGTAAAAGACGCCAGGCACAAAAGATCATATACTGTGTGGTTCCACTTATGTGAGGTCCTCGAGCAGGTAAATCCATAAAGACAGGAAGTAGAAAGGTGGGTGCCAAGGGCTGGGGGAGGAGGACCGGGGAGTTAGGGTTTAATGGGGACAGGGGTTCTGTTTGCAGGGATGAAAAAATTTTGGAAAGAGATCGTGATGTGGTTGCATAACAGTATGAATATAATTAACAGCACCAAATTGAATACTTAAAAATGGTTAAAATGGTAAATTTTATGTTTTGTACATCTTACCATGATTAAAAAAAAAGATTGGAATCTCCATAATCAGGAGGCAGAGAGTGAAATTTCTGTGAGTCACATCCTGTGATGGATATTTTTCTAGGCATTTGTGTCCAT